AATTAACTGCCCTACATATATTTCTACAATGAAGCAGGAAGAACAACATTTGAAAAGATCCCATTACTGTCAAAATCACACTTGAGCAAGGTCTTGAGATGGAGAATAGTAAGAGATAGTTCATAATCATTTTATTCTTTTTCCTTGTATAGAATTACAAGCTTTGAATTATTCACAGTGTTGATCATATCATATCAGGCTCTGGTTTAAATGTTGAAATAAAGCAAAATTGAGTAGGTACTCAATTTTTATTATTACAGAAAAAGTGAAAAAAAAATCATTAGATTGGCAACTAAAATTGCATTGAATTTTAGTAGTTTCAATGATAATATCGAAATTCTACATGTAGAAAATGAAGGAATAGAACTCAATCATTATGAATCATTAGAAATCAACAAACTCAGAAAATTTGACATTTTACTTAACGATCAATTAGACCTCAATAGTTCACCACTGTTGAATATGTTTTCTTAGTAGGTAATATTATTTTTTTGCTATCAACCCTTTCAAGTTAATCCGGTATACCGTAATTCAATGTAGATATTGTGCCTAACTTCCGAAAATGGAGGTTTATCGATCCCAGGTACCTAATCCTTCAAGTTGGGAAAGGAGGATATATATAAAAGTTGAGCGAGCCAACGTTGGGTTAGTTCATTGTACCAGTATATCACCTGACGAAGCTACTGTGTTTAAGAATTTCGTGGAAATCTCATCGTTAGTGAAGTTCTTACAATAGTTCTATATACATAGAGGTTTTGTATCCTTTAGACCATGTGAATGAGGAAGGCCAATATTCGGGTCGATTCTGTTTGCAAATAGCAATATGGTTGTAGAGAAGATATTGCTATCATAGCAAGATTCGAAAAAGTGGAATTCTAATCATCGATTTTTGGCAATATGATCTGTCAATTTCAATGACATCTGGTCAGCTTTCTTGCTATCTCGGCAACATCAATTTTGTGCTTGCTATCATATAACAAGGTAGTGGATTCTTTGTTTTTGCACTACAAATTCTTCCAACTGTTAAGAAATTCAGAAAATAGCGGATTAAAAACATATGAGGGTTCAGTTGTGTCACAGACTACTCGAAAATCTTTCCTAAAAGTTTCAATTCGTAGAAGAATTATTGAAGAACATGAAATTTTGATTACAAACATATAGGATAGGTTCACTTCTGTGACCAACTACTTGAAAACATTTTCTTGAAGTTCCAATTTGTAGAGGGAATATGGGATCAGAGAAATTTCAGTTGCCTGATGGATAGTTTATCAAGCTATTTTGCTAGAATATTGAAAAAAAATCACGATTATTTTCATCCGGCTTTCAGTTGATTTCTCATTTCGGGAACATGATTGATTACTTGCCAGTCGCACAACGACGACTTCAGCAAATACAAAATCTCTCGATTTCAACCATATAATTTTGTAAAATGTCAGCGCAGGACTGACTAATTTGAGAGGTTAGATAATCATGAACTCTTCTTCTTCTTCATGAAATAATGGCAAAATCGATACCAAACACTTGAACAATGAGTTGAAAACAGTGTTGTCAGCTCAAAAATTCTCAATTTTTCAACAATATTGCTATCACTTGAACTTATAACCAGTCTTGCAATTACTCTGCAAACAGAATACAGAACTTCATAGCAATATTGTTATATGTTATGATCATAACAATATTATTATCTTAGCAATATTATAACAAGATCCGAACAGAATCGACCCGAATATTTGATACTTTTAATTATTAAAGAACCTTGATATAGTATTCACATTTATGTACAAATTATATTTAAGTTTAGCCGTCATTACTTAGATTGATAGTTAGACATGTTTTCCCGTAGTTTCCATGTCATCGCAACGTCAGATGATGACCTTGGCTGCAGCGATAGCTCTGTGCTAGGGTGCTCTGTAAATAAGCGAGTGGTAAACGCTTCAAGTACTTACTTCTCGAAATTGACATCCCGATTTTCGACGCCAAGAGAGTCCGGCGTCGAGACGGCGACATGAAGACCAGACGCCGGCATGCCGACTCATGATGGCGCCCGACGTTCAACGTACCAGAAAGATATGGCCCGTATATTACATCAGGATTCAGTGGAATTAATCTTGGAAATGCTCAGACGTGAACGAGATAAAACTAATAGTATGATTCCGAGAAAAGCTATCATGTAGGCGAGCTCTCTGAAAATTGTGAAGAAAAACAAGTTAGTCAGCAACGAATTGTTTTTCTTGCTTTGTTCTCTCTAATTCTTGTTGATAGTATTTATGCAAAACAATTTGATTGGGTAGCTCAAATGTTGAAAAGAAATTTGTTGGTTCAAACAGATGTCCCAGCATTCCAGGGAAAAAAACCGATACTTTCATGACAAGGCATGTCCAACAATTCCATCTTTATATCAATCGATATTAATCAAGAGTCAAAGATATGTTGATTCAATTCTGTTCTTGATATAATCCGAGATATAATCTTTGACAATGCTGAAGAAGTAACGTACACCAATAATCATTGCCTGCCAAGTCCAGGAAATATGAAAAAGTATTTTCCGAATCTTATGAGTGGAAAGGAAAACGGAGAGTAATAACAATCAATAAATAATTAAGAAGTACTGCTATCGTAACTATACCCGATACCCGATACACTATGAAGGTTTTATGAAACATTGAGAAATATACGAGGAAATATAGTAGATATAAGCTCCCTCTTTATCACACAGTGTGTCCATTTAGTGCGTAATTCTTCGATATCTCGAAATCAATTATCACAAGAGAAAAGCTTTGGAGAAAAAACTTTTTCAGTTACTAAAGATGCTCATTTCCAAAATATTTCCAATAATACTGGGTGTTTTATAAAAGCGGGGCAACTCGAAGACGAGTTTTTTCAAATGGAACACCCAGTATAGTTCATTCGAAATTTATTTTAATCAAAATCAGCTCTACATAGCTATGAAAAAAAATGAATTTGGTTGCGGCGTTGCCAAGTTATAATTGATAAACCCATTTTTACTACTATTGAAGGGTCATGTTCAATTGGGTATGGTATATTTATTTATTAAAATTTCGACAATATTTTTGGCATACAGTAGTAGCAAGGTCTCACGTATACCAATCCAGTAATCTTGCGAGAAAATCCTCTACAGGGTGCTGAAATTTACATTCTGAATATTGTAAGATTCAGACGACGATCATAAGAATTTTTCAAATGGAACACCCTGTATTTTTCGTAACAGATTTATTTCGACATCATTCGCCTTTTAATCGCAGAAGAAAAAATCAAAATCGGTTGCGGCGTTTTCAAGTTATGAGTAATTTCCTTATTTTTACTACTATTTGATTTGAGTGTGGGAATATTGCTTGCCACATGACATTCGAGGTTCTTCATAGATCATTCAGGTATTTTTATAATTTTTAATAAAAAATAATTCTTCCAATCGCCTATTGAAGCAGTAGGTATCGGTGAAAATATGAGGAGACACCCGTAAACACCCGGAAACACACATAATTTAGAAAATTTTCGCCCAATCTCTATACCATCAACGTTATCGAAAATATTTGAGTACTTAATGTTGAAGTTTCTCCATAACTTTCTGAACATTAATAATGTACTATCTCCAAACCAACATGGATTCAGGTCTGAACACTCAACGACAACTGCAATAATATCATTTTATTCAACTCTTCTGAAGTCTATTGAAGGAGGTGAAAACCCAAATGGGGTCTTTTGTGATCTTAGTCGAGCTTTTGACTGCGTGGACCACGATATTCTTTCGGCAAAATTATATGATTTGGGTATTAGAGGATTACAACACAACTGGTTCATGTCATATAACTCAAACAGTAAAAATACCACATTCAAGTAATAATCATTATGAACATATATTTTCTAACGAACTATCAAATGACATTGGGGTCCCTCAAGGTTCAGTTCTCGGTCCGATACTTTTCATTTTATATACGAATGAATTGCCATTGGCTTTAACTGAGTGCTTTACTTGCTTGTATGCCGATGATTCTTCTCTATCATTCAGGTCTAGTAACGTAAATACATTACAACAGAACGTCAATTCAAATCTTCATCATCTACAGAACTGGTTTTGTAACAATTCTCTTCACTTGAATGCCTCTAAAACGAAAGCCGTCATGTTCCGGACTGCTCAAAATACTAATCAAATTGATTTGAATATTGAAATTTCTGATATTGCTATTGAAAAAACTGACAGTGTGAAATTTCTAGGTATATTTTTAGATAAAGATCTCAATTTCCGTACCCATTAGTAAACTCAACAGAAACTGTTATTTGTTGAGAAATTTGACTAGAATTCTTGACAACTCAGGTCTACTCTTGTATTATTTTGGAGAAGTTCAATCCAGACTATGCTACGGTCTGATTGTTTGGGGTTCCTCTCCACATGCATATAATGTATTTTTATCTCAAAAGCGAATTATCAGAACAATTGCAAAAGTACCACCAGTTGAATCATGTCGAAACTTGTTCAAAAAATTCAGAATCTTGCAGGTCTTTACATCATGGAAGTCTTGGTATTCGTATACAAAAATAGAACCAATTTTGAGAGGAATAATGCTTTTCATGATTACAAAACCCGCATAAAAAACAATTTTCATCTGCCTAAGACACGATTATCTCTGCGACTTCATTCGTTTGAGTCTATTGGACTTAGGGCATATAATCTTATTCCAGAAAACATCAAATGCTCCTTCTGAAAAATATTTCAAACATAAAATAAAAAATTTGCTCCTTGACATCAGTCCCTATACAGTTGACTAGTTCTTTTTAGTTTTACAAAATTAATGTATCATTTGGACATGTAAATATTGTATGTAAGTCATTTTATTCATTTGTTTCAATCCTATGTATTATTGTGATGTGTTAGAATTGTGTACCTTTTGACTTATCCTATTGCTCTTATGAGCTCTTTAATGGATGAATAAAAACTAAACTAAACTAAACTGAACTAAACCTCAAAGTTAACCGAACAATACTCACTCGTCTATTCCTCTCGCCATCTCCAGGGAAGAATACCCTGGAGAATCATTCCTCCTGGACGCTGGCGAGGCCGTCCTGATCTCCTCCAAGCTAACGCTCTCCTGAACGCCCAGAGCGACGTTGCCGGCGTTCTCATAAAAGCTCTGATGCCGGAAATCCGCCGACGGCCGATTCGAGTCCTTGGCACCTTCTGGAAAGTCCTTGCTTACGTCACCGGGCCTGCCGAAATTCTTGCCGTACAGCTGCCGATAGTACTTCTCCTGGTCGCCGTACATCCAGCACACTTTCCACCACTGTTTGCACATGAGGACGTTGGCGGACGCCGTGGCGTTTTCGCGTTTCAACATGGCGGCACTTTTCATTTTGTCAATGTTTTTTTTTGATCGTGGGACAGAAGCGATATTTTACGCTACGTTGGCACCTGTAAAGGAATTTGTTAGGGGATGCGGACCATGATAATGGGGTGCAGGTAACAGGTGCTTCGGTACCTCAGTGGTCATCGATGTGGATCAGCTGTATAGGTTGAGTCGGTTTATATTGATGAAAATGTCGATATAAGTCGAATTATTTGGATTATTCGTGGGAAAGCAGTAGAATGTGACCAATATTAGTTAGATTTTTTCGTTTTTTGTCGAGCTTTCGAAAATGTGTATTTTCTTCAAGACTTTTAACATGACATACTATATAAAATCATGTTTCCTTCTCATGCTGATTTTATATAGTATTTCATGTTAAAAGTCTTGATAAAGAGAATGAACATTATCGAATGCTCGACAAAAAACGAGGAAATCTCTCTCTCTAGGATAACTAATATTGATCACATTCGACTGCGTCTCACGAATATTCCCAATAATATTTTTTTATGGTCTGGTTCCCACGAAAAAGGATATCCTGTAATGCTCAAAGAACATCGTGAGAACCAATGGAAATAAGGTAGGAATTGGTGTTCTTCTTAAATTTCTGGAGGTTATATGCCTCGGGAAATACCTTCCATGGCAATGTGTTCCAGAGCCTCGCTGTTCGTTGGATGAACGAGTCATTGGAAAGAGATGTTCTGCAGGTCTCCAAAGTGACCACGAAGGGGTGCGAAGCCTCAACTTGACGGGTTAATCTCACGAAAACTTCCCCTTATCAAATATGAGTTCTTCAAAGAAATCACATACTTATTTCTGAACAAATGTCAATATTAATTGTTTTTGCGTTTCAACATGGCGGCATTTTTCATTTTGTTCCGGTGTTTTTTTTACATAGGCGATATCTCACGTTCGCACCTGTGAAGGAATTCGAAGGGATTGCAGACCATGATAATGATAACAGGTGCTTCAGTACCTTAGTTTTCGACGGTGTGGATCAGATTTACAGGGTGAGTCGTTTTCCATGTATCAGAATGTCGATAGAAGGTGAAGAGTCCACCAAGGAGGAACATTTTTTTGAAAAGAATATCACATACTTATTTCTGAACAAAAATGTCAATATTAATTGTTTTTGCGTTTCAACATTGCGGCATTTTTCATTGTATTTCGGTATTATTTTTTTATTTTTGGTAGTGGGACAAAGGCAATATTTCACGCTACGTTGGCACCTGTGAAGAAATTCGTCAATGGATTGCAGACCATGATAATGATAACAGGTGCTTTGGTTTCCTAGTGGATCAGCTGTACAGAGTGAGTCGGATTTCATGAATCAGAATGTCGATATAAGGGGAAGAGCCCACTAAGGAGGAAGGTTATTTTCAAAAGAATATCACATACTTATTTCTGAACAAAAATGTCAATATTTGTGACTAGTCCGAATCGATTTCCATTATCAGAATATTTGTAAAGAAATGCCTAATCCGGTTTCTTTTATTCTGCTAGAGTTTTTGTGATCGCAGAAGGCTGAGAAATTGTGATATATAATTTTTTTTGCTCGACACAGTGAATAATTTTGGGTAGTCTATTATGAGGAAAAAATCCAAATCGTCCTAAGAATATGAAAGCAAAGGGGTTGTGGTGGTTAACGCAACAGATGCTAAAACAAATATGAATATTATTATTTTTATAATTATTATTCGTTTTGTTTCCTCTTGAAAGAAGATTACATTCCTGAGAATTTTCTTTCGAGTTGATCACTAAGACAGCTTTTTCAGATAATTAATTGGAATCAAGAAATCAACACATATCTCTTTTTGCTCTTCTTTATGTCTACATGTGAAATCAATCAAGACACACTCAATTTTAATTGGACATAAATTTACTGAAGATGATGGCAACTTAATAATTGCTGGAATATGTCTGTCTATAGGGTGTCCCTTTTTTATCGCTCACTGTACAGGGTATGTGAAACGAAGCTCAATAAATTACAAGAGAGTTTGCAAAACCGGAAATGAAATCCAGTTGTTTTTCATGGAAAATGTGTGTTTTGAAGAACTATATCTGCGATCCAAATGTCCACAGTCTAACATGAAAAACGACTGGATGTCGCAATGGCCTTTGGCTTTGTTGTCACTCGGTATAGTACTGTCATATTTCGCGAATGCCCGTGTAACATCATTGTCGTTTATTTCGTTGGACACGAGGTTGGACTGTATACAGTGTATACTGTAAACCTTATTCAAGCAAGTAGACAAATCATTTGCGCATGCCATGGGCGCACGCAGGAATTTTTCTCAAGGGGTCCAGAATCCAATTATCTAGACGTGTAGGAATCGCCGCGAAATTGGCAAATCAGACTTTCACCAGGGTGAGCAGAAGTGCTTAATACGACCCATTTCATGTGATAAAAACAATATACAAGGTGTCCCTAGAAGGTGTTTACAATAACATTTACCTAACACATCTATTTCTCAGACCAAATCTCTTTAATTTGAGGAAATTCACGTCAGTTTGAGCACTGAACGGCTGTGAAGTCACAATTTTTGAAAACGTCTTCGGTCTATAACTAAGAAACAGCTCATGATAATTCACTCATGATGGTACTTATAGCTTGCTTCGTCAAAAAACCTATATATCATGATCATTTTTTTTTATCGCTTGGAGCGCACGAGAGGGAACCCCTATAATGTTCAAAGAAAATCGTGTGTTCCTAGGGAGGATAGGGACAGGAGGTAGGTATTGGATTTTTTTTTGAACTTTTGGAGATTATATGTTGTTGGAAATACCTCCACAGGCAATGAATTCCAGAGCCTAGCCGTTCTATGGATGAAGGAGTCTTGATAAAGTGCTGTTCGACATCATTCGAGGTTGACAACGAAATGATGTGCTGACTGGGCTTGTCTAGTTCGTCTGATTGGTATTGCTAGTGACGGGATGATAGCAGAGATTTCCGAAGAACATTTCCCGTGGAAGAATCGATAGAAAAGTGAAAGGTCGCCGATCTTTCTACGGTGTTTCAATGATGTCAAAGAGTGAATGAGTGTGGCGTCACCCACCAGGCGAATGGCTCTTCTCTGGATGGAATCTAAGAGCATCAGCGTATGTTTTGGTGCTGAACCCCATATGTGGGAACAGTATTCTAGAACAGGCCGTATCTGCGCCTTGTAGATCATGAGAAGCTGTTGGGGTGTAAAGTAGCTTTTCGCACGAAACAAGAATCCGAGTTTTTGTGAAGCAGCTTTTGCGATGGATCTGACATGATTATCCCATGAATGAGTATTGCTGATGGAAATACCGAACATAGATATGGTGGGCTTGGTGGAGATGGTGGAGCCAGACATTACAATATCGGCCATACTGAGTTCCGCCTTTCTAGAGAAAATGCAGGCTTGAGTTTTGATGGCATTAAATTCAACTAGGTTGTTTGTTCCCCAGGCTGTGATTTCAGCAAGATCTTCATTGACAGCATTGACCTGCCTGCGCCGTGAGTTCTTAGTTTCCTGGGAGGAAATGGGAATATTGGAAGAGAACGCAGTATGGAGGGTACTATCATCTGCAAAGCTGTGGATGGGGCAAGTTGTTACTCCCAACAGATCATTGATATGAAGCAGCAATAATGTTGGTGCCAAAATTGATCCTTGTGGAGCGCCGGAATTGATGCCAATGGTATCATGGTAAATATCATTCCATGGGCATGAAACTTTTTTTTTTTTCAGTAGATGAAATATCTGAAATATCTACGCCAAAGAAAAGAAATGTGAATTTGAGTGGGGAATATGGAATGCGTAACTCATTTACTACAAATGGCAAACTCTTTGAAAAATTCGATCAGGTACTCCCATGGATTCCACAAAAATTTAAATGAAGTAATTTAGAGCAATAGTGAACGTTCTATACGATTAACAGATAATTCATGATATATTTTCATAATCTTCAGGTGAGTATACGATGCAAAAACTGAAATGTATACAGGTTGATCAACTAAGAACGGCTGTCATCAATCATTCTCTCAACTTTGATCGTCAATATCTTTCGTCATCATGTTGTTTCTTATTTCATTGTGTAATAATATGCATATTATACCATTATACATTTAATATTTTTCAAATCTGGATATTCATTGATACTCTATAGATCACGCCCTCTAGCGGCAACGGCCATATGAATATGAAACCAACTCCAATCACATTTGATGAAACAGGAAGAGGACTTCATAACGAGCTCATTATTGTTGAATTCTGTTGAAGATAACCAGAGTTACAGACGTCTAAATGATACATAATTTTCCGTTCCACCACCACAAAATTTTTCAGATAGGACAAAATGTGTGACAAAAAAACTAGGAATTAACCAAGGATCAAACTGCATGAATTTTCAGTACACTTTGTTACTACTGAATATGGATAAAATTGCAATATTCCCTTTACTCATAGCCGTTACGCTACCTAGCGGTTATTTTAGAAACAAAAAAATATTTTACAGCTGTTTTTCAGGGTTACTCTTCTCGAGAATTTTTTGTTCTCAAAGTTGAACCATTATTCGATGCTGACATATGGCCAAAAGCCGTTCTCAGTTGTTCACCCTGTACTTGTGGCTATATTTGTTGTTTTTTTTGGTCCGATTACTCAAGTCAGAGCCATCAAATTGTTTTTGTCTGAGAAATATGTAGTTGATATTAATATAATTAACAATATATTTTTCTCTTTCAATACACGCAGACAATTTTTCCACTCCATTTATTGAAATAATAACAAATTATAAGAAATAAAATGAAGAAGAATTATTGTAGATATTGCCGATATGGAGTAGTTTAATTCTGGTAGCTATGGTAGCATTGTTTTACTAAGTATGCTCCGTTTCACCAACGGATTTAATCTCGGTTTTGGAGTTGACTGACAAATTCAATCTCCATGAATAATTCAAATCGTTTCACCATACCAGAATCACCGATTAACTCGATTTATCCAGATTATTTCTCAACTGGCAAATTTTTAACAGGAATCAATCGC